CCCGAGACGCGGTCCCTCCTCTGCCGTCCCTCCCCCACTGCCCGGCCTCTCGCCATAAATTAGCCAAGTAAGAAAAGGGACCTGGCCGGTCGTCCGGGAAAGCTTGGGCGGCCGGGGGCAGGAGCCCAGGATCTGAGGAGTCGCTATTGTTTCCCCTCAAGCCCACGTGGTCCCGGGTTACCCCGCTACGCACAGCCGACAGCGCGGGGACCTGGGATGCCCCTCTGTCCCCAATCCGTGTGGCCGCCTCGGTCCTCCTCCTCGCTCCCTGGCACATCTGCTCCGGTTCACACTCGCCCGCACAAGCAGGCATACCCACCCTCATCTCCGGGGCCTGCTGTAACCAGCGCCGCAGAACTCGAGCGGCGGCCGAAACACGCGGGTCGCGCAGCCACGCGCACGCCCTGCCCCGCCGAAGGCCACATAAATCTCTTGCCCTCAATTATTCATCAAGATGAATATTAATGCAGCTCTCTGGGGGCGGGGTGCAAGGAGGCCTTTCATTTTATTTATTTATTTCTGTTTTAGGTGGTCTGGGGGGCGCAGGCCGGGAAAGCGCACAAGGCTGGCGGACACCAGGGACAGGAGACGCGCCCTCACCTAAGGATCTAGCTCGCCGCCGGCTTTGCGCCCCGGGGGCGGCGCGCAGAGACAGATGGGCTCCTGCAAGGGAGGGTCCGAGCCTCGTGGCCAGCTTTGCATAATAATGAGTTCAGTGCGGCTCTTATTTCTTGGACAGGGACTGGGCAGACATCTACAGTTCCACCACCTGCGGACCCTGTGGTCACTGAGAAGGGAAAGCCGCGCTTTCCTCCGCTGAACAATGGGAAGCAAAATCACCGCCTTTTGCAGGGCCGGGGTGAGAATTAAAGGGGCGCCTGTGAGAAGATTTGCGAGGCATAAACGCGTATCGGTTGAGTCAGCAGTGTGAGCCTGCCGCCTGTGACCCGCTAGGCTCCTCCTGGCCAGATCCTTAAAACTCCACCCATCTGGCGCCCCCGACGGAGGTCCCGGCAGTCTTCCTGCCGGTGGGAGGTGCACTTTCCTCCTTCTGCCCTGGGTTGTGACAGCCAGGTGGAAACTCGCAGAACGTCCCTGGGGTGGCTCCCCAGGAGCCAGGGCGAAGGCAAGATCCTCGCGCGGTTCAATGTCAGGCATGGTGTCCTAGGCCTTGAATTCTTCACCACTTTCCATCAGAATGATCGGGGCAAATTTCTCAAACTCACTTTTTCTCAACTGCAAAATGAGAACGTCTGCCCTAAATTAACCAAAGGCAGGTGACAGGCAAAGCTCTTAACCTAGAGCCTAAGACACAGTAAACTTCACAAAATGTTCAGTTAATTCTAAGCGTTCTGGAGGATAGTTTCTTGGGCAAAAGGAAGGATGACTGGGCAGCTGAGATAAGAAAAAGAAGGAAAAGGGGGAAAAAACTTGAACAGAAATTAAAAATACATCTCAGCTCACTCCTCAAAATCTCAGTCCAAACATCTTCCTCTGTCTCCTCCCTTTCTCCTCTTTCCTGTCTGACTCATTGAACTGAGCAGATCTGGATCATATTCAGCCTAGGACCCTTCAAGAATCCCTCTAACAGTGAGATTTGCGCACCCATGTCTATAACGGCACACTTTGTAAGAGGTAAAGCTTGGAAACAGCCCAAGTGCCCATCAGCTGGAGACTGGATAGAGATGTGGGTTTTTATTTCTTTGTTTTTTGTTTTTTTAAATAAAATGGAGTACTACTCAACCATAAACAACGAGAAACTAAGTGGATGCATTTTGAGGCCATACTCTTGAGTGAAATAAATAGGAAATACGCGTAACTACCAAATCGTTTATCTGGTGTGAAAAACTGAAAGTGAAAATAAGGATCAAAATGTATAACTGTTATCGTGAAATAGGAAGAAAATGTCTAAAAGAGTGGGGGAAGTGGGAGGGATGGGGAAAAGGAAGGATGGAAAAGAAAAAATACGAGAAAAGAAAAAACATGGAAACAAAGTCTTTATAAATAGGGAAGGGTGGAGGGGGTGAAGAGGCCAGGGGAATGGGAAAAAATAAGAACCAAGATACATCATGTAAAGGTACAAAAGCACAATAATGAAAGAAAAAATATGAGAAAATGAAAAAATGGAAATAAAGTGTTTGTAAATGGGACGGGGAGGAGGGGGTGAAGGGAGGGCAGGGACAAGGGGGAAAAATGAGAACCAAGACCTGTCATGAAAGGTACAAGATCCCAATGACGAATGTAACTGTACTGTACACCTAAAATGTACCAATAAACTCAATGAAAGGGGGAAAAAAGCCCAATAATAAATGTAAATGCATACTTAAATTATACCAATAAACATAATGGAAAAATCCCTCTAATTTTGTATTTTCCTTTAAAAAAAGTTTAACCACCTTTTTAGTGTGTTTAACTTTGGGCACTCTTTCCCCCCAAATTTAGTTATTTAATCTCCCCCCCCAAATTTAGTTATTTAATCTGTTGTGTTTTTAAAAATAATTTGTAAATTAAAAACCAGCTTCTTGCACCTTGGTATTATGCTTGATGTTAACTTCTCCTAAGTGTGGCTCTGTGAAGTTATCAGCTGCATAAGTTATCTTTCTCTTGTCACCATTTACTGGTTAGTCTTCCCTTTCAGCAGAGGGCACAGATAGAGAACAAAACTGAGATCCTTGCCCAGGACTAGCTAGTAAGACTCCCCTTTAAATTAAGCCTGCATGAACCAAGCCATTGAACTGCCATACGTCCCCAGTTTGTGCACACAGCCTTGGAGGGGTGAACTGCCCAATTTATTAGCAACCACTGGCTACAGCAAGGTGCCCTAAGGTGCTGAGACACAGGCTGAGAGAAAGGATAGAGAAGAGGAAGAGGGTGGAGTTGTTTTCAATTTTTAGACATCCCATGGAAAACGACTCTTAATTGTGCTTTCCATGTTCAAGATGGGACAAAATTCAGGTACACCAAGTATGCTGGATTAGAGGGAATCTTCATTCCAGTTTGCCACCTTCTCTATAAATGACTGTTAGGGCACTCAGATATCACCTCTGACACGGGGGAGACATTCGCATTCCATTGCCCTGGGGGACCAGGTCTGTTAAATCACGTGGACTATGTCACGTCTAATCCTGGCTAAGAAGAAACTGGTTCCCTTTCTTAGCCCCAGAGGGTCCCTGCCAACTTTCACAGCAATTCATTTTAAAAACAAACTGGAGCAGTAATTTCCGACTCTGGCTACTCTTTCCAATATTCAGAGAGGGCTTTTTAGAAAATGGGAATGTTATGCTCAGGTCAGCTTCTAAAGATTTCTGTTCCATCAGTCCAGAGGGTCCTGAGTGGTTTTTTTTTTGGTGTTTTTTTTTTTTTTTTTTTTTTTTTTTTTTTTTTTTTTTTTAATCTTACCTAGGTGATTGATTCTACTGCACAGCAAGAGCCAGGAACCACTGACAAGAGGGGGTTTAATAAGCTAGAGAAGGATCCAGAAATAGAGCCCTGGGAAAGAATTGGAGCTAATCGATGAAATAGGATACAAGGTTGACCTTCTTGTCTTCAAATTCAAGGAATTAAAACCTTCCTAGGCCAATTCTTTTCTGTCATTCTAGACAACAAATGCTTCAAGTTATAAAAACATAGATCTTTGTACTTCTGTTGTGTACACCTGGGACTTGGTGGGGAAGCCACAATACAGGATCACACTATGTGGGGCAAGGCTCAGCTCTGGATCAGTAGAACTGCTTTAAATATTACCCCTGCAGTGTATTAGATTCTGCCCCATTGGTCCACAAATGACAGATTATCAGCTTTTTCCTTTCAGAATGGAAGAAGATAATAATGGCCCCCTCAGGGCTGACATGAGGACAAGGCATGGGAAGTAGCCAGCTGTGGTGTTGTGTTCTTATAATCTTAGCGCTCTGGAAGGCTGAGGCAGGAGGATAGCAAGTGTCAACCCAGCCTGGGCAATTGAGTGATTTAGCAAGATCTTGCCTTAAAATTTAAAAAAAAAAATTTTTCCTGTTTTTGTTTTAAAGGGCTGGGGATGTAGATCAGAGTAAAGGCCTTGGGTTCAATCCTCAGTTCCACCAAAAAACAAAACAAAACAAACAAACAAACCAAACAAACAACAAAGTAGGAAGTGCTCAGCTGTCAGCCTGGTACCTGGTAAGTGCCCAGTAGAGTCATTCTGCCGACCTGGGCACAGCTGTATCAGTTTAATTCACCTCAGGGCTCACTTGGCAGCCTAGGCCCCCAGCTAAAGTA